CTAAGCAAGTAAAAGCTGCTGCAGGTGGCTGGCAGTTTTCTTTCTAAGTGAGTGCTGAATGTGCAGCTGGGTCCAGTGCTGACCAAAATGCCTACTTTCTTTTGAGATTTGAGATGAATGGTGAAAGCTTGTGGCGGCTGTTAAATACCCGAGACACTTCTGCAAGATTTAGGTCCAAGCTCCTACCCAGCTTATTATTTCTGTGCAAAATCCTGCATTTTAAAATGGATGGAGGAATCTTGGCCTCAAGTGCTGTAAACTTTTCTGCATGCTGTGTTATCACATTGGGTAAGGTATTACCAAGATGCAGAAGAAAAATAGTGAGATGTTGCTGCCAGTTAACTGTTGCACTGAGGGACTTGAGCTAAGATGTGGCAAATGCTCCTTGGGTTGTCTTGTTTTGTCACACGAAGCTTGGTGTTTTTTTGGTTTTTTTTTTTTTAAAAAAAGGCACTGAGCCAGCAGCTGTTTGAGTATCTGCTTTGTCATGTACTCTCAGCCAGGTAATAGTGTAATACCTGGAGGGTACGCCTTGGCTGGCGTAACTTTAGATATCAGCCCTTCAGTCATCTGGAGTTTCACCAAAGTTTAAGCTGGCTTCTGCTCTTGGGTGGTTTTAAGTGACCACCACAGCAGTTCTGCAATGAACACAATTTGGCCAGACCCAGAGATTTGGCCGCATAGTATGTTCTAATAAAGTTTAAATGCAATAAAAGTGATAGGAGCACAGACAGACCGAGGTACAGCGTAGTCTCTGTGTGTTAGCTGCGTGCTGCCGTTGACAATGATGCTTCACTGGCTAGTTGCGTATGATACGAAGCTTTGCTCACTGGTGTTTTTGACTATGCTCTGTCAAGGAAATGAGCTGAATTTTCATGTAAAATCTAATAGGCTTTATATCCAGGCTTCTCTGCGGAGATTCAGACTAAGAAACTGGTGTTTGTGGCTGGATGCTTCCAGAAAGTGGATGTGATCCCTGCATGTATAAAGAAAATGCACTATTCATCATCTCTTAGCCAGTGATAGAAGTGCAGGTGGGGGTCAGGCCAGGCTGGCATGACAGCCTTTTGTGAGTTGACCAGTTGAGCTGATGCCAAGGTGAACCCAGTCTTTAAATTCCCTTGTATGCCTCAAGGTGTGCATCATCGGATCTGTGCTTATTAGAAGTACAGGATGAAGCTGGTGTTGGTCTCCTGTCCAGCGAGTGTCAGATGACGTTCTCTTTGCTGCACATTGATAACAGGAAGCTCTAGAGTAATACAAACATGCTGGCCAGTGAAGGCAGCAGAATGATGATTTCCTTTCAAACACTGCAACTGGTAAAAGGGTGTGGTTTGTTTTACTACTGTGTTCCCTTCAACCCAGGGAGGCTGTATGGAGCTGATGACTTCTTGCCTGTGTTGACATACGTACTAGCCCAGTGTGATATGCTGGAGCTGGATACTGAAATTGAATACATGATGGAATTGCTGGATCCATCTTTGCTGCATGGAGAAGGTAATCTTTTTATTTATTTTTATTAGAAGTGAGTGAATGATTAGGGAAGGGGGGCATTCTTCCTCATAGCGCAGTTACTGTTAACCTTGTTTGAGTAGAAATTCTTTGAAGGGGAGTCCTAAAGTCAGCGATGTTGGTAGTGTGTAACGAGAAACTCATAATTATTTCCACCTTAAACTAAGAGAAAGCTGGTTAGCTTGCAGACTACAGGCATGATTGTCCTGGGAATCTACTGATGTGTACTACCTTATGAAGGAATATGTTGTTTTCAGCCAAGGAGGGGGAGGCATTGTGACTTAGCAAGCACATGCATACACTGTACGGGTGCCAAATGCGTTTATGCTTCTGTGCCTGAAAATATCCTGAGAGTATCTATAGGGCCACAGCATTCAGTTAAATTGTGAGACACATAATGGGACTTGGGTTAGGTGCTTTGTAAAAAATTCTGGGGGGATTCTTTGCCAGGGAAGTGCTTTTGAGAATATTGCCCCCCTTAACGATTTTTGCTTCTTCCCACTATTTGCTTCTCACAAAGTATTTTTATAAGCCCTAGGAGTATGTTTCCTAAGGCACTCGTGAATGATGGCTGAAGTCTGCTAGAGACAAGGAAATCTCCCTCCTTTCTGTTTTCATGGGGGTGTTTTTAACAAAGAGGTATTCTGCAAGCCCTTGGTAGGCTCCAGAATCTACCAGTTTATGAGGAATTTTAATGGTCCTTGTGCCAGGCTCAGCTGTGACTTTAAGTATATGTGTACATTTCCCATTCGTGCTATCTCTTGGCTTGCTGAAATTGCTGTATCCTCTTACATGCCAGTGTGCATGAGAGAACCATGCCAGGATTCCCCACAATTTGGCACTAATCTGTTCCCTGCTTGTGTACAGAGCATCCTCTAGTGCATCGTTCAGGAATCTTAGCACAGAAAATACTTGAGATGTGAAGCTGGAGATCATTCACATACTTGAAAGACAAAAACATTTACAGGACTTAATAAGTCAAGTTGTTTTTAAGGCAGCAAAAGAAGTCCATCTATTGGCTGGCCCTGTCTTTGGCACCAGCTGAACTATACTGTGCAGGAAAGGTTGTTTAGTGCTTTGCGGTTTTGCAGTTCAAATGTAATATATTGTCCAATTTGTCTTATGCGTCTTGCATGTGTTTTATGTATGAAACTTGTTGGAAAGCTAAAGGCCAAGAGGATGCTATTGTAATACAGAAAATACTACTGTGAGCCTAGAACGCATCTTTGAGTGACTCCGTGAATAGACTGTACTGCCTCTTAATTGGACACTCCCACTCAAATAGGTTACTTTAAAAAAAAAAAAAAAAGAGAAAAATAAATGATAGCATGTCTTTTGTTTCTCCTGGTTGTTGATGTCTGTTACCTCCTGTTGAGACTCCTTTTCCTCTGTGACCTGCAGGTTCTTTTGTACATCAGCAACTCTGTTTTAATTTGTTCTCCACTCATGTAATAGAGGTGAAGTATGGAGGGCTGTACACATCACCTCCTGAGCTAGTGGGACATTATGGGGAACTCTAAAAATGTGACAAACACAGTCTTCCATTTAAAAACAAAAGCAAACTCTTTGGGATGCTTCCAGGGTGTGAATCACACACTCAGTCGTTGCTTTATTGCCACTAAAGGTGGTTTGCTTTTAAGTTCCCAAACAGTGGTAGATTGTCTTTTCCTTTGTTTAAACAACTATGTTTATTTCATCGACACATGAAGCTCTAGAGGAAAACAAATCACTGTCTGGAAATTGTTTAGAAGAAAACTGATGTTCCAACCCTGTAAAAACACTCAGGAGTAAAGGAGTGACACCAGTCATTTAAGTAACAAGCTGTCCCCAGCACTAGTGGACCCAGAGTTAGATACCATTGCACCAGTTGATAATATGGAGCACGTGCAGCCTCTGCATGTCTCCTAGCAGCTGAGAACATACCACTCAATATTTTGCAGGCCAGTGAGCTGTTTTTCTTTGTATATAAATATTTTGGCAATAGAGTTTGGGGATTTTCATATATATATGTCTCTGTGTATATGTGTGTGTGTGTGTGTGTGTATATATATATATAAATAAAAATTTGTGTTTGCACTTCTGACTGTAACTAGTCGGAGCTAATGCAGTATTTGTGACCACTCTGAGAAGTTGTTCCCTTGCTGTCCTTCACAGGAGGCTATTACTTGACCAGCGCTTACGGAGCACTTTCACTGATCAAGAACTTCCAGGAAGAACAAGCTGCCCGACTGCTAAGTTCAGAAGCCAGAGATACTCTCCGGCAATGGCATAAGAGGAGGACGACTAACAGGACGATACCTTCAGTTGATGATTTTCAGGTAGAGCTTAGGGCTGAAGAGAAAAACAGGGGATGATTGTTTTGTTGGAAATCCCATATTTGAGAGTTATGATTAATAACTATTCCCTTGAGGGCCACAAGGTAAATGGAGTGAAGCAGTGCTGAGAATATGGCTGGCAAATGTGCCTCTGTTTCGAAGTCTCTGCACTTTATAATAGAGCTTGATTATGATGGTCCAAAGAAAACACTAAACAATGGAGCTTTCCCACCCTCCCTTCTATTTAAGTCACGCAGAGCAAGGACAAACTGAATCATATCTTAGAGTCAGCTGCTTTGTATGCTTTACTGCTAAAAAGAACAAATCCAGATTTCTAGTGGTATAAATTCCCCAGTAGCTAATGGTGGCATACAGCAGGTAATAGAGAGGTGAGGTGTGGGAGAAAAGCTTGCCTACGGTTTTAAAGTTTAAGCAAGGAGTAGAGTTTTATACTATGGATGTCTTCATGTTTGTTTGTGTTTTTTCCTTCCCCTCCATTTCTTACTGCTCTTTCAGAGTAGGGCAGTAACTTCAACTGAAGAATAACAAAACAGTTGGGATTACCTCGTCTTTTAAAACCAGGCCTGCATGTCTTTCATATAGTGTGCTGTTGATTATTCAGATGCATCAGGTTTGTGGACTGAAGCAAGGAGGATGTTGGAATGGAGAAGAAAGGATTTACTCCTCTGTGTTCACTTGTTTACAGTTCTTACCACAGCACAAAGTTGCCAGACAGGCTAACGACAACCATCAGTTAGTTATGATGTAGTGAAGACCTTGAGAAATGAAAGTGCGGGGTCATCAGGAGATGATGAAACCTTTCAGCTGAGGCTCCTTCTGCTTTATCAGTGCCCATGCAAATGACTACAGCACAACACTGAACAGGAAGGAGTTGGGAAAAGCAGCAGTTTTCCACAATTTGCCTCTCTTAGGAAGAGGAGAATTGAGTAACAGAAATTCCAAACTATGGACAGTGCACAAAGCTAGTCCATCTTACTGGGATCCATTTTATATTCTGCTCACCTGCAGTTAGGTACCGGACTCAAGTAGCATGAGTCTTTGCTCTTCTCTAGCAAAACACTACACTGTTCATAAGAAAATTCAGCACCTTGCATTTCTGCTAGATGACTGAATGACAGAGGTTTCTTTCAGCAAGATCTTGTATTTCACTTTGCCTTCTCTTCCTCAGCAAATGAACTTCAGCCAAGCTAATTGTACGTCCAGCTAGATGCCATGCTGGATGTGGGAAGATGCAAGGAGGTGGGGGAAGAGCTGGCACTGAGTGTGTCCAGTGCTTCTGCTTCTGTTGTCTCTTCCAAAACAGCGCCTCGAATCAGTAAAATCACACCACTTCCAGGCTGTGCTTGGCACAAATTCAAGCATTTTGTTGCCTGCTCAGAGTGCCAGTTTTCCATCTCCCTTCTCCACATTCTGCACTCCTGAAATGAAGCACCTTCTCTACAGCCGATGCATAACACAACCTTAGCTCAACTCATCTTTCCCATGTTGAACCAGGATGTGATCGCTGCATTTCTGTGATGCGGTCTCACAGCCTTATCAGCTTTTGGGTCCTGGAAGGCCTTCATCCTCCCTCCCTCAAAAGGATGGAAAAGCAAAAAGGCCCCTATTTTGATGATGATTAAACATAACTTTCTCATACTGCATAAATAATTTTGATATTTAGTATATGAGTTACCGGCATTTGTACGAAGTTCAGCCTCTCCTTGAAGCAATCATGTCCATCTAAAAGCACATGCATTTAAAAACAGGTCTTCTGTGTGTTAACTACATTAGAAGTTAAAACTGTAGTGTGTTTTGCCTTCTCTAAGACTGATTTTTATTATCATTTATTCATGCTGGGTAACAAAAATGGGTTAGTTCTATTCAGTCAGGTTCAGTCCCAATGGTTTAAATGCTGCTGCAAAGCTTCAGTGTTTCAGTCTCCAAGCTATCAAAAAATGCTTTAATAGAGACAAGAGTGCTCTTTGGAACTGTCGTCATATGAACATTCTTCTCAGTCTTAGCTTTTAACAGCTTGTTTTTATGAAATGTAAATTTTTACCATTGCTATTTAGCATGCTTAATTTATTCAGCATGCAAACATAGGTACCAGCTCAGTCAATAAACAGGTCTTTCTCACTGTCATTTCTTTCCGCCTCCTTTAATTTTGCTGCTTTTTAGTCTTTAATTGCAGCTAATTTATTTTTTAAAAAAGCACGCGGCAGCAGGCTGCTTTGCTCATGTGTCCAAAAGTGTGGGGTGGGGTTTTTTTTCTCCACTTGTTGCTTTTTATTTTACTTTTGAAATGCCTTTTGAAAGGTAGAACTGCATTTCTTCTTTGCAGGGCATATTTAAAATTTATCCATATTGTCAGAGTTGTGGGCATATGTCCACAGGGAAAAAAGACCCAGCTTTTGCCTCAAGATCATATGGATTTACTTGAGCGTTGCATAGTAAATTTTCTTTCTGCATCCCTCTAAGCCTTATTTAAAAAAAGAAAATGCTGTCACATGAAACTTGGTTACATCAGGCTCAGACACCAAATTGCCACTGGTTAACACAGTGAAAATGTCCTGTGTGAGGATGGATTTTCCATACTTGCAGCATCAGTGCAAACAGTTTATCGTGCAGTAACTTGTGGATCAGCATCCTTGTGTGCTGCCAGCCCACGCTTTTTTTTTTCCTTTTTCCTTCTGACTAACATATTGCACGAAGCTTCTGTTCTCAAGTATTGCCCCAGCAGTGGCAGCATCATCTCTTGGGTGTGCTGCCTCAGATGTTTATTTTGCTTCACAGCATTTTGTTGCCTAGTAAGGCCAAACTAGGAAGACCCATTAAAACCACTGGTGTTTTCCATGTGGCTTTAAGGCTGTATCTGTTCACTCTTAATTGCAAGGTTAGAATGTAAGCTAAGGAAAGGAGGACGTTGGCCTATGAATTTCTGTTATGACCACCACAGGCTTGCCAGTTTTACCGTGATCATCACTATTCACAAAGGTGGCCATAATGTACAGGAATCACCGGTGTGCATTTCACAACTCGAACATGGGAGGGGCTTGCTGTTTGTGGCTGACTCTCCAGTTTTTAGAGGATGAGTTTGGGTTTTTTGAGTTTCTGATGTCTGTTTTCTCATCCTACAGAACTACCTTCGTGTGGCATTCCAGGAAGTTAACAGTGGATGTACAGGAAAGACCTTACTAGTTAGGCCATATATCACTACGGAAGATGTCTGTCAGCTTTGTGCTGAAAAGTTTAAAGTGGACAATCCAGAAGAATATAGCCTGTTTCTTTTTGTTGACGACACCTGGCAGCAACTGACAGAGGACACCTACCCTCAGAAAATTAAGGCAGAGTTGCACAGCCGTCCACAACCCCAGGTCTTTCATTTTGTCTACAAGCGCATTAACAGTGATCCATACGGTGCCATTTTTCAAAACAACGGTGACTCAGCTTCTTAAAACCAGCAACTCTTAGTTTAATTTCTGCTCCTTGTTAACCATTGAAAACATTTTTGTTGGCTGCCTTCCTTAGGAGCTAAAACAGGTCTTAAACCATAAAGCCTAGTAAAACACATGCAGACACTTCCAGCATTGCTTACAAAAACGTATGTAAACTGTATATATGGCCAGTTATGCGGAATATTCCACCGGCGTGTTTGAGTAAACAGTCCATGAGGCTGAATTTCTTGTACCACAGACTCTTTTGAAGCATACTATACTGTGGCCCTCTGTGGGTCTCTTGCTGTAGTGTGCAAAAATCTATTTTCTTACACTCATCCTTTAGCCAAATGTCATTCAGATTTAAATATATGTACACTAGACAAAAGTATTTCGGTAAACTGGCTGGTATGAGCTCAGTTTCACCAGCATGATTTTGACAAGACTGTCCGATGCAGGGCATCAGTTAACTCATAATTACTTGGATGATTGCATCCTTTCCTAATTTTTTTAATTACAGAAAATCACCATGTTTTTATATATATATATATCTCATAGAAATTTTATAGCAGTTGCAGGTAAACTGTCAGGGTTGGTTTTTAAAATATTTTTTTAACTATAAAGTATTCTATAATTATGCATGCGATTTTAACATTTAATATACAAGAATAAATCTCTTGCTGGTTTTAGAGTATTGCATTAAAAGTCTCTGTGATTCTTCTTTTCCTGTTACAGGAGAGTTTTTATGAAACTTTTGTTATCTGTAAGAAGACTGTAACATGGGCACAGGCGATTTCAGTGCCTTTATCTGAACTTGATGTACGTTATCTGCATTATTGTTTATATGCATTGTTTTAGTTGGAACTAAGGGGTTGGAAGAGGAAATTGAAAGAAAAGGATGTAGAGAAGGGGCGGAGAAAGAATGCAGAGAACCTAATTCAGGATTAAAATGTGTTAGTCTGCTGGTTCAGGCTCCTTGCAGAAAATAAGCGAAGGAGGTTGCTAAGGAACTTTCATGCAAGCAGTATTGTAGATTTGCAGAGGGGGTTGACAGCACCTATCTCAGATACTATTTGTGTTAGCAGAGGAGGATTAAATATATCAGTAAGGTGAAGGAGAACACTAACTATTTTGTATAGTCTGTCACCGACACCAAAATGTGTCTTGGACTGAAGAATGTGTTGTAGCATTTCATGGTTCTAAGTTGCTCAGTAGGTGAGATGTGAAAGTCAGTCCTACATACACAAAGATAAAATGGTAATAAATGTGTGTGTTCTATAGATTTGACCAAGATAGCTGATGCCGTGGGTGATGCTCTGGACCCCACTTAAGTCATTTAGGGCTACTCTCTTTAGAGGGACACGGGGTTCTCCCCAGTCTAGTGTGACTAGTGTAACAAAAGGCAGATGATTACAAAAATGTCATGAGCAGCATGTGTATTGTACAGACAGAGAACTGTAGCATTTTTGTCAGTTTGCCATGTATCTGAAACCCCTGGCACGTGTTTGTATTTCATTTTGTAAATGGTGAGTTTTGCACGTAATAATACATTGTAATACTGAACTATAATTTGGGATTTTGTGTGCTGTGGTTTTTGGGGTGGTGTTCTTTTTTTTTTTTTTTTTTAAGAAATGATTCACACTTGGAATGCTTTGTGTAGCAGTAGACTCTGACGCTGCTGTTTTTCATACTGCTCAGCCCACGTTAAACTCTTTGCAAAGGCAGGATGCGGTAACATTATTGTCTAGTTAATGTGCTTGACCTGAACAGTCAGTAGAAGAAGCAGGCAGGTATCTTGACTGCTGACCCAGTTCTTGCGAAGCCAAGACTGACATTCAGTGCTAAAGAAAATTCCACTATTTTTCATATGATGGCAGCTCTGTTAGGGGAGGGAAGGATGGGGGCAGAAAGGCGAAGTATTAAGAAACTCAGAAACGAAGGAAAGCAAAGAGTGCAAAAAGGGAAATGCGTGCCCAAACCACCTCAAGATGATTCCGCTGTCTATTCTTGAGCAATTGTTTCTTTTGAAAATTAGAACATTTTATTTACTGTGCTGTGCAAAATACTTCTCACTTCTCATAATGCCAGGAAACAGCTGATACAAAAACTTTGGAAGAAATTTGGACTTGTAAAAATAAGCTATTCAGTCTTCTCCAGTGCGAGTTGTTGGATGCTAGGAAATAATGAAGAGTAAGAAAAAGTCTATAGTTGAGGTGGTCTCTTTGTTTATTACTCCCTCTTTTTCCATTAGAGCAGTAACTGGAAAGGCTAAAGGAAATAAAGCTGGACATAATAAATCCCTAAATCTTACTAATGCAAAGGCTTAACAGAAAAGTTAACACTACATTAGGGGGTTATTTGTGAATTCACAAAGAGAACATACTGCAGAATCATAAAATGCCACCTGCAGCAGCTTAAATCGAACTACTTATTGTTGTTTCCCCACGTTGTTTTTCTTATTTTTCATCTTAAAGGCCGTCACCCTTCCATGCACTATCAGCCTTCTGGGCAAGTCTTACAGTCGGTGGATCGTTCTTTCTGTGCTGGAGTTGCAGCATCACAAACCGGGTGAGGATTCATTACTGGAGTGGGGAGAGGCCATTTCTGTAATTCCAGAACACCAGGAGCGCACAAAGCCTGCGGTGTGTGAATTGGCAGATTAGCCTGATTTAAAAAAAAAAAAAAGTTACTGTGCTGGTCTCCTAGGTCTTGCTAGGAGGGCGAGATAGAGGTGGGGAGCAGGGTAAGCTGCTGAAGCAGAGGGACGCCTGTATGTTTCGGAACAGCTGTTTGTTGCCGAGTTTTCGTCAGGAAGGCAAAGCCGAGGGGACGCCGGCCTGGCCCGTGCTGCCGGCGGTGGCGCTGCGCGCGGCGCAGGCTCCCCCTGCCCC